GGTTTTATCCACTGAAAAAAAGAGGAAATAGGCACTTTCTGGGTTTAGAGCACACATGGACCATGATAGGATCAGACATCTTAGGATTCAGGTTCCAGGAAGGCTTTTCTAGTAACTAAGAGACCCTTTGAAGTCTTTAAAATGAGATTCCAAAGGCAACAGAGCGTGAGAAGTCCTAAAGCATCATCCAGTCCTAGTTGTAAATCCTCTTGATTGATAGCGTCAAAATAAACTCTGATGTTTGCTGCCCTTTTTTTTCTGAACAAAATCAAATAAAATCTGTCAAAATTCATAAACACAAGCTGAAAGGAATACGCAAGCAGTAGTAAGGAGAGATAAATTTTCTCTCAAAGATGGAGTTAACAAATTGCTGCATTATCTCCAAGATTTGTTCAGTCACTCTCACTTCTTAAAATCATGAATTCAAAAAGTCTGTTTTGTGCATCCATTTAGAATATTTTACTTGAACAAGGTACTTTTTTGTTTTGTTTTTGTTTTTTAATAACCAGCATATAGTTTGGGCTTGGACAAAGGATAATAAGTGATTGTCAGAGAGAAAACTATTTATGAATAATGACAGTTAGTTTTTTTTTCTGGGTGACCTAATCTCTTGGCGGGTTCCTAATTCTTGGTTTTAGTTTTTCAGTATGTGACTCTCAGTTCTCACTCTGCCTTTTAGTGTTCAGAATGAAAGCAAAGCTGTCAGGTGCAAAGTGATTTCCTCTGCTTAGAGGAGATCACTGTCCTCTGATTTGCTTACTTTACTCTTGAGTTATCACCTTTATGTCCACCAGAAGGCTCTACTGCTTTCTGTAATGAGCACAGAAAAATATTCTTTGGATTCCTAACAAGGGCATCACTGTTGTAAACGGGATTCAACAACTTGCTTTTACTGAAACTGTGCATTGGACTAAGCAGTTGACTTCTAATGCATTTTGAAACAAGTGAATTATAAATACAGAGTAATTGCAATTGTTGAGTGAGGATTTGATTCAGTGTTTAATTTTGTCATGGAATTTCAGGCCACATATATTTGATATACTGGCTTTTGAATTAAAATCTTAAGAAATTTTAACACTTTCTTTAGTTTTGCTACACCTTTCATAGGATGTGTATATATATTCTGTAACTTGATAGAGAAGTTGGAAATACCCTAATTCCTCACCATCCTGGCAGCCTTACATTTATAGTCTTGGCTGATGAGAGAAGCTCTGAATTTTATCACTTGCTATAATGATGATGATGTTCTACAGACATTTCTTAATGTGAAAGTTGCTCTTCACATTATTCAAGTTCACAGTTCATGGGCTGAAAACAAGTAGTTGACTCTGTCTGCAAAGCTGTCAATGAAGCTTCCTTTATGAAGTTAAGTTATGATAGTTAAAAATATGATTTTAATTTTTTTTCATGTTAGGATCACATGTTAGTGATTCAAAAGGGAAAAAGATTCATTTTATTTATTATGTAAGTGGAAAATGAGGATAAAATAAGAAGACATTTCTTGGAGCAACACTTTTTGTACCCACTGATTAATTTGACTGGAACTGTTCTGGGATTCCATCCTCAGGTACAGGTCTGATTTACCTTGCACTAACTTTCAGAACTAGAAATTGCAGAACAAGAATATTTGAACACCCAGGTTAATACATCTTTGTAATGCTTATGATTTTTAAATTATGCTTTTCAGAGCCCCTGGATAAAAGTAGCCTGTTTATTTTTCTAATGTTAAAAATTCTGCTTAGGGAAAGTATATTATTCCAGGTGGGTTTGAGGGGAGGGGTGGTGGTGTATTAGTTTTGTTTTCATTTTTCCCTCTTATCATAAATTATTTTCTTTATAGGTACTTTAGTAGGAAGCCATAAACATCTTCAAGAAGGTTGCTCACATGCCCTCTTGAATTGAGGGTATGACAAAAAAATGTTTCTTAGAATACTAGTTTTTTTAGCTTCTCACAAAATCCAAGTTATCAGTGTTCGCATTTTTCCAGTCCTCCTTGTCTGTATTTCCCTGTTCTACTTGTCCAACAAAATCATTTGGATATTATTTCTAGTATATAGTAGCTAAATTACAGCAAGAGACATAAACTTAAGATGGTGGGAGACTTCCCACGTACTTTAGCTAAATGTAGTGGAGGCAATTCATCATAGCCCACATCAATTACCAGATAAACCATTCAAGAATTGATTGTTTTTCCTCCAGCTACTTGTTGCATTTACTAGAAAAGGAATTCAAAATTGTTTTCACTGCAATATAAATGGAAAAATGTAACAACTCTAGGTTGTCTTTCTGTTATTTGTGATAGTTAATTATCATGACTAAATATTCATAAAGTGTTCAGAAAAACACAGGAAAATGGATTGCCATTGGCACAAGATGATCTGATATTCTCTAATGGTTTCACTACAGACCGTTTCAGGGTGTCATTAGTGTGCTCCAGCATCTTACAGAGAACTGAGAACCTTTACTTTACTAACAAAGCTTTTACTTCAGCATCATGGAACTAAAAAAGGCAAATTTATAATTATTCATTGCTGTGTGCTGTCATATCTCTGTGAAGTGTTTGTAAACAGTAACAGGAAAAAAGAAGATACTGTTGGTATTTATTTATCTGCAAAAATTTAGAAGAAACTATTTCAATAGTTAGCATCAGTTTTGCCAGTGAGTTTTATGCAAGCAACATTTCACTTCAAAACTAGCCTTATGGATTTCTATTGTAGCAATGTCCTGAAACTCAATGGGAGTCTTCTTGAATACAGACCAAATAAATTATTTGGCAGCTGGCCATGTGTTTTCTTTCAGAGGAATATGGTTATTCACTACGTAATAGTGCAGGAAGAAAGGAGACATATGGAAACAAATTTTAAAAGAAACAGTAACATCACTCAATGAACTTTTAGCCATGCAAGTTGCCAAGCACTTAATGCAGTCATGAAGGAAAGAAATAAATTATGAAGCCCACTAGCCAGGCACTTAGCATGCAAAAGTGCTGTTCTTATAGAAAATAAGCAGTCAACTTCAGCTGAAAGCTGAATTACACTAACAGTTCTTGAAGTTTGATTTATTGATTGCTTTTCCTACTGCTGTTATAAAAGGCACAATAATACATACAACCTACATGAACACTGTTTTTAGTAGCATCCTTGGAAATATATTGGTCTTTTTAGTTGGCTGTAAGCACTAGACTAGCATGTCTCTGCCCCCTTTTCCTTACAATTTTGTTTTGAAATATGCAGTATAATCCTATATATTTTCCTGTTGTATCTTAATAATGTTATTTCAAGTAGATGTCATATTTTTCTAAGTAAACATTGTATTTGTAATAACATGAAAGCCAAAGTGGCAAAAAAAGTGGCTGTAAAATTGATGCCTTTAAATGGAAGATAAATGTTTGTGTGAAAAATACAGATCAGTACAAAATTCTTTTACCAGTTCAAAACTTGTATTTGGTAGAGCTTTGCAAACTATTGTATGTCCATTCTCTCTAGATGAGTCATGGTTTTGGAAGAAAGGGGAAAGAGAATTTTTTCAGCATCATGATCATTGTAATAATGAACTGCAGAAACTATAATAGATTTTGTTCCTGGCTTGGCAAACTGTCTAAAAGATTTTGCAAGAGAGTTTACATAATTCTTTCCATTTAACTTTCTAGTATTGCATATGTTTTAACTGTTATCTCAAACACACCAAACTTTTAGGTAGTTTGTGGACTACATAAATGCGATTTAATGTTTCGTAAGTATTTTATGAGCAGAGTTTGTGGTTATACATTTTCATACTTACAATCTTAATTCACTTGTTAAAATAGGCTCTCTGTTAGCTAATAGTTACCAGCTGTAACTAATACATTAGCAGATCTACAATGTAGTATTTAAAATGACGCATTTCAAAATCAATAGCAAATGTCCTGCTGTAGGATTAATTGGAAAACTTGTCTTATACAATGCTCAGTACACTATACAAAATTCTTTTGAGATTACGATAAATCAAGGAATAGGAGAAAATGATGTGTAACTTTCTAACAACATAGAAATAGGAAAAGCAAATATATTACTTACTGTAGTTGTTGTTTGCTTCTCTTGTCCCTTTTACTTTGCCTCGCTTATCAATCCTCATATACCACTGAGTTCGACAGAAAAGTCTTCTCACTCTTACATCCCCCCCTTCCATATAATCATAGCTTCTGGTATGTCGCTCAGGGCTGGAACAGTTCACATTTGTAGCCATTTGCTCTGGAGTCATGTCATTGCAAGCTAAAGATATAGTGCCCATTAGAAAGATAATGTAAAAGTATGATCTGTAGAGCAAAATTGGCAGGATCCATGTCAGTATCCATTTGTGCATTATAGTGCAGTGTTCTGGGTGTTCATGAACAACATAATGAAAATTAAATCTCAAGTAGACTGTTGCTCTTAGGTCACCGACCTGCCTTCTGTCTTTATGAGTTACAGATTCACTTAAATGAGAGTGTTCCCTCTTCTAGAATTCTGATCGTTATTCCTTAATAGTTAGTGGCGAAATAGAAGAGCTTCTTAAATATCTCTTCAGTCAGAATATCCTTTAAAGACACCAGTTATAAAAACCTTTGTTGTCGTGACCTTCTGTACTACTTGAATTTGCTGCTTGCACTGAAAGTAAAAGATCTGTGAGAAAAGGTGCATGTATAAGTCTTTATGCTCAATTGTTACAAACATGCAAGGATACATTATGCTACTGAAAGTCACTATACATAAATGTATGACATGCTGAGCTGACTTTAAAAATAGGCAGATGTCTATACAATAGATATCTCACACAAATTTTTTACATAAACAGACATTTAAACTGATTGTAAACATAGCTCTGTCTTCAGTTTTAAGTCCTTGCAAAAATCCCCTTAATGCAGTTGAACTACTTTCTCATGCGTGGTACAATTCTGCTGATTACTTCATACCTATATATTCACTATTAGCATAATCTATCGGATAACTTTAGTTCAAATTTCAACAGACCTCCTAGTCTTAGCTCTGTATTTTTTTATTCCTATCCTTTTCAGCTTATTAATAGAAATAGTTTTCTTAATGCTTTTTTAACATCTAGCATATACAGATGAAGATAAAAGTTATTAGCCATTAGAAACTGTTAAATGTTCTTGTAAAGGACAGATAACTTACTTGTTGCTGTTGATAAGAGCTGGATACACAAGTAGTCCATTTCTGTTGTCTGCTTTTTGCAACATGAGACACTCTACTGTAGCTACAAACTTTCTCAGCTCAGAAAGACTCCACCAGAATTATAATTGTTTCCATAAATCAACACGCTGGAGCGATGGTGTGTATGTGCTTATGCGTGCGCGTGCATGTGTGTGTTGAGCCTGTTGTTCAGTCCTTTTCGATAAATACCTTTGCTGACCTCACTTGGAAGCAATTAGAATTTAACCAGTCAGCTGTCAGTTGAATGCACGAACAAAAATAAAAGGAGACTCGCATTGTATCGTGTCCAATGGTCATCAGAGGGAGCTATGTACATAGTTTATGCTTTAAATCTCCAAGAATCTACTTTCTAAAAACATATATTCTGTGGTGTGTGGATAGAATTGCTTCACATACTAGCTAGTGTTTCTGTGCTTGGTTTAGGGTCAGGAGTTTTCTGTCCTTAAGAAATTCCTCCTTCTCTCTTTCATACTCACACATTTATCTCCCTTTGCTTTCAAATCTCTTCTGCAGTGTGGTGGATTCATAGTCTGCGTAGTGCCTTTCTGATGGGTATGAAACATGTGGGTCCATTATGTACTCTGGAGAAGGGTGTGCTGGGGCCATTACAGATCATGCAATGTATTTTTATGTCAAGTGATTTTTATTTCGTCAGCCACTAGGTGAAAATGAGAATGTATATTTGGATGTTCAGAGATTGATGTTCAAACACAATGAAAGGAAAATTACTTCTAAGGGAACAGCCTAGTTCCCTAGAAATGACAGCAATGCAAGAAAAACTCTTAAGCTGCAGACCAACCTATGGGTGAGCAGCAGACTTAAAATACAGAGAATCAAAATAATGGGTAGATATTCCTGAGTTTCTGCTTCTGTACACTTATTTCCATCTTTGGCACTGGTCTGCTATCCAAAGTCTATATTCCATTTCATTCTTAAATTCTGTTGAATTGCCAGTGAATGTATTTATAAAACATAATGAAGCTGATTTTTCACTACCTCCTTATCCTGTTTAATTCCCAAGTTGTTGATGTGCATACACCTCAGACCCTTTAGTAAATAACAGCAACAAGGAAAGTTTGGAATTAACCCACATATTAAGAGTAGTTTACCTACCTTTAGTAGTCTGTGCTTGATAATATAATGCAGTTTATCATTCCCTGCATTTATTCCACCCTTACTCCTTCCTCTCTGTAAAAATAGAAGTAATGTAAAAATGAAGTAATCTCTACAGTTGAAAATCATAGAGAGTACGTATGTGCCACCTTGTGGTGAGGGGGACATAGGTGAATTGGGCTTTTTCACTGGAGTGATCCAAAATGAGCATAAAGGTGTATGACACCAGGCAGCCTTTTATTACTCAGCCTTTCCTATACACAAACACAGAGAATGAATAATTTCCTTCCTTAACATCCTCACCTTCATTCTTAGCTCTCACTTGGATTAGTCCCGTTTGTCACTCGCTTTGCATTCTTCTTTTAACCATTTTCACTCGAAGTCCAAAGTTGATCAACTTTTCTTGTCATTGTCTCCATTTCAGCATATTGGGCTGTTCCCCCCAAAACTCGGCCTAGGTTTCCTAGCTCAGCAAAAGGCTCAATATATGCACCTTCCTGATATGGAAGGGATGGCACTTCGGCTTTCAAAGGCAGGATGCCTGCAGTAGCCACACAGAGAAGTGGCTTTCATGAAGTTAACCCTTGTAAACTGTGATTCCGGCTATTTCCAGTTTGACTTGTGTCTTGTCAACCCATGACCACTGTCCTGACAATAAGTGGGGACTGAAGTGATTTATCCCAGTTGTGGTTTTTGCCAGTACATGTGCTGGATTTATTTCAGTATGTTCTCTGATCCATTCCACAGTCAGAATTCAGAATGATAGCAATGAAAAAAATTCATGGCATTCAAAAGGCTTATCTGTTATGTATTATAAAGAAAGCAACCAAGGATGAAAGTTGATCTCTGTTTTACTCGGCAAAGTGGGATGCAAGTAGAAATGTTTTTGTAAATATTCTGGGTCTTTTATGTTCAATACCAACTTTCACTTTCAGTCCATACTGGTTTTAATTTTTCTTTTTCATTACTAACTTATTGTTTCTGACAGTTAGTAAAAGAAGAAAAAATATATACCTGAGGTTTTGGTTCCAGAAAGGTGGAGCTACTCATGGTCCAGGCATAGGCATGTATTTCTCTTGGCTCTGAAAAATTAAATCACTTGCTGCAAGTGTGTTTTTGAAGTGGTGACTCAGTTCAGATCTTTATGAAGTTTTGTATTTAGAATAAATGAAAATCAATTTAAATAGGGCTCTAGCTTTAAGTTTAGTCAGTGAAAAATGAAGTTGATCTTTAATTGCTGCTGATAATATTCATATCCTCACATTTTGTAATTACAGAATAACTTTTTTTCACAATGCTTTAACTGCAGTTTTATTAAATCACCAAGTTTTATGTCGTGCTGTACAACAAGTACTGCTGCATATTTTTTAATGAAATGCCATCTTGATCTGCGTATTCAAGTCAGGATTCTTTACATAAATCTCTGAACCCTTGAATGATCCAACCCACTTCTGTTTAAACCAAACGTAACTAATATTTCTTCACAAATAGAACTGGTTTAGTTTTATGGAAGTTTTTAGAAGAGGCATTTCTTCCTCTTATCTTCTTACAAGCATATGTGCCCAAGGCTCTGCAAATCCAATCCCAAGCAAGTCTTTAATAATATGTAGAAGTTGTCCACCTAACATGCTAGTCATTTTGCATTTCTTTGGCACAATTATATTTGAAGAAATGTGTTAAGGTATCAGGACCAGGTGAAACATGCAAAATACACATGCTGTAAGCCATCCTTTAATATTTAAAGCTGCCTTCTTTATGTTAACCCATGCACTGGTTCCTGCTTCCTAGTTGATAGACAGTTGTCCACATCATTGCTACGGTGAACTTGCTGAAGAGAAGAAAGTGGAAATTAATTGCAAGCACTTTTCTCCCAGTTATGAAGATTATGCATAGGCCTCCATTTCAAATAGAAGCAGCTTAATAAAGTCCGTTCCCTTTTCCCTCACATAGGAAATTACTTTTTGTCCTTTTATATGAAAACAGGACTATAGGGATCCATGCTTTCCTGATCTCAAGGCAGGCCTGTTGAGATATGTACAGCCCAGGTTTGGCACTGGGTCATGAATGCAACTTTAAAAAAAGCCCAAACATTTTGTCCAGCTTGCCCTCAGGGCAGCACATACCTGCTAAGAAACTCTCATTCTGTTGCTCCTTGTTCCCTGATCCACTTCAAATTTGCTTTAGAACATCTTTCAGAACTTTAAGAATTTAAGACAGGAGGAAGATAAAAATCTCTGTATTGGACTTTAAACCTGAGATGCTGGGTTTTAATGCCCTGTGGCAATAGCTAAAATGGGATTGGAAGGTCCTATGGAAAAAATTCCACAGATGTGGAGGTGCTAAATATTCCCATGGTTGAATACTTATCCTTAGTTCACTGATCTCGGAAATCAGGATTAGATCAAGGTTGATGTTTGCTGCATGCAAAAGATACAAACAGTGCTACTGCTTGTGCATTTCTTCTGTCAACACTGATCTCTGAAAAACACTGCAACATGTCCAAAATAGACTCATATAACAAGGCAGTAAAAGCAAGAGAGATGAGGAATATGGCACTTCGGTTTGGATTTGTCTTTTCAGGTTGTAAACTTAAAAGTAAATTTCAGAATAAAAAATGTAGCCATGAATCCTTTGTCTGCCTGGCTATAAGAATGTCTTTCTGGTTTTGGTAACTAGTATGGGTTATTAAAATCATATTGAAAACACAAAAATAAGTTTTTCCTTGCAATTTTCAAAACAGATCCCTGAAACATCATTCATTTCTGTGTTTCCTCCTATTCATCCAGATCATATTGAGCTGATTTAAATCTACAGGAAAATTGGAATGGGATACAATAGATTCTAAAAAACAAGAAAAACGCCACCAAACTATCAAATAGTTGACAACTATATAGCGGCTTCCTATTTTTTGTTAGTTAGCAATAGCAAATGTGTTTCCTAAAGCTTATTTAAGGGTAAACAAAGGCTGGGAATACTGTAGCTCAGTCAGAAAGAAACTTAAAAGGTAAAGCCATTCAAGCTTTTTTCAGTAGGACAATGGAGTATCATGATAGTGCTTTTTGAATGATAGAATAAAAAAAGAATGCAATGGCAGTCAGATGAGTCCTTCCTTTCAGAATGGAGTTTGTACAGTGTGGGGCTATGATAAGTGTCCTTGTTTTTCATAGTTTGATAACCCTCAGCTTCAGGGAATCCTATTTGTGGTGATATCAGGACACTCGGACTGTGGTTACCCTAATCTAAGATGTCTCAGAATTGAATTGTAAGAGTTCATTTTTGGTGGAGATACCAAAAAGAAAAAAAAAAAAGAAAAAGAACTCACAGGAGAAAATCCTGAGGAGAACCATTTACTTTATCTTCTTTATTACCAGGTACGAATTTCAGAAGTCTGTCTTTCTGAAGTGATCCATATGTTTGTATTCAAATTTTACCAAAATACTTACCATGTAATGATTACTTCTGCCTGATTTTAAATATACTCTTAAAAAACCAAAAAACTAAAACCCAAATGTGTAGCATCTTTTTGTATACACAGATAGTTGGATCAGAATCCGCTTGAAGACCTAAATTTGTGGAACTTTGCTGAAGTATTTTCTAAAAAACTTGCAGAAAACCATGACTTTACAAGTAATGATTAAATTTTACATTAGTAGCAATAAATATAAAATAAGGTATTCATATTTAGTTTCTAAGTCAGAGTGTAGCTATACATAGGTATGAATATTGCATGTAATTTGGATAATCAAATCTTGTTTTTAGAAGTTAGAAGTTAGCCACTTCTAACCCTTCACCTAGGTCCATATGTAGCATAACTATAAGTATAACTTGGTGGTTAAACATTTTATGGCCCATATAAAAATAATTTACTTATAACTTCTAAATCAAGAATAAAGCTTTATTGCCATGAAAATATATATCCATTATTACCCTGCCTATCTGCTGTTCTTTTAATCCTAGAAAACAATTTCAGTTTTTTCTAATGGGAGCCCACCTGAAGGCAGATTTTGGAGGACAGATTTCAGGGGTTTTTTTTTGTTAATCATTTTGAAATCTTATT